CTCTGTCACTGATTTTCTAGAGGTAAGCCATCATAACTTGAGGTGGCCTGGGTTAGGCTAAAGCTCCCCACTTCCACACGGAGGGCCCCGGGTTCGATTCCCGGCAGGTGGAAACATTTCGATGCATTTCCTACACGCTTTTAACCTTTCACCTAGCAGCAAAATAGGTACCTTGTGTTTAGTCGACTGGTGTGGGTCCGCCTCCTGGGGATAAATTGAGGACTCCCAAAGGTACTAAGTTAACAGTCCCGTGATGACGAGCACTGACTTTCTTGGTTATCCTGGTGCTAATCCTCCGGGTTAAAATCCAAACAAATATTTTCTTATCTTCTAAACTGCAGTATCCTCAGTTCCTTCACAGTGCAGGCACTGTATTCTTACCTTGTGGACTCAATCGGGCTAACCAGTATTCCCCAAATTCTGGATGCAGTTAGAAATTGCCTATAAATGCCTGTTTTTTATAGTTTAAACCCGTAAATATGCTGCAAAACACTTTACTTTAATTTCAAACTCACCCTCATGCATCACCCACAAAAAGAAAAAAGAATGTAAAAGATAAACTGTATACATTACTGTACTCGTATGACTCCCCCACAGTGCTAGAATCTAAAATGCCTGTGTTACCCCCAGACATACTGTAATACATACAGCCATTTCTTTGTATACTTAATTCGTGCAAACCGTTTTCTATGATATATGTACTGTAAATATATGGTAATAATTTTAATTTGGTAGGGTGTGCAAAAGAAGTAAATTAAGGTGAATACCGAAAGAGTAAGTATGAGGATAACAAAAAGATTAGTGATGGACAGATTGAATATCAGATGGAGGGAGAGAGTAAGGAGGAGGTAATGTATTCAGATATTTGGGAGTGGACGTGTCAGCGAAGGGTCTATGAATGGAGATGAAGTGGAATCATAGAATTGATGAGGAAAAAAGAGTGAGTGTTGGCACTTAGGAGTCTGTGGAGACAAAGAACTCTTTGTCCTTGGAGCAAAGAGGGGAATGTTGAGATATAGTTTTTACCAACGCTCTTATAGGTGTGAAGGCATGGTTGATGAATGTTGCAGCGAGGGAGAAGGGCTGAGCATGGAGAAGTCATTGTGAGGGCAAAGTGTGGTGTGAATATAATGCAGAGAAATCGTAGTTGGAAGTTAGGATAGTGCGGGATACAAAACTGTTGTCCAAAGGGCTGAGGAAGGGTTGTTGAGGGTGGTTCCGGACATGTAAGAGAATGGAGCGAAACAGAATGACTTCAAAGAGTGTAATCAGTCCTGTAGTGTAAGGAAGCGGGTAGGGGTCGGCCTAGAAAAAGGTTGGAGAGAGGGGTATAGGAGGTTTTGTTGTGCGAGGCTTGGACTTCCAGCAGTTATGCATGAGCGTGTTGATAGATTGAATGGAGACAATGGTTTTATACTTGACATGCTGTTGGAGTGTGAGCAAAGTAACATTTAAGAAGGGATTCAGGAAACCGTCAGGCCGACTTGAGTCCTGGAGATGGGAAGTACAGTGCCTGCACACTGAAGGAGGGGTGTTTATGTTTGCAGTTTAAAACTGTAGTGTAAAGCACCCTTCTGGCAAGACAGTGATGGAGTTGAATGATGGTGAAAGTTTTTCTTTTCGGGGCCACCCTGCCTTGGTGGGAATCGGCCGGTGTGATAAAAAAAAAAAAAAAAAATTAATTTAGTAAAGGAAAGTTAAAACTATGTGTATGGCAATTTTGACTGAATTACATTAATATTTATGAGTATCAACATTATTAGATTATATTATTCTTACATTATTAGTGTTAAAACGCATAATATAAATTGTATATGCCATGAAACAAATTCCAGCAAATTGCAGGGATTTCCATCGAACAATTATTAGTTAGGTTTCTAAAGGAAAAATCTGTAAGTCGGACCGCAAATTCACCGGGGTCCACTGAATTTTTATTTAACGTATAGCAGAACACTTCATACAAATATTATTTGTAAAAAAACATGATCTACAAACATTATGTGATTTTTTTAGTGTATGTGAACTACAACGTTGCATATTTTATAAATAGCTATATTTAACCATCATCGTTTTCTTCTCAGCAAGGCAGGGTTTCCAAAAAGAAAGAAAAACTTTCACCCATTCCGCCACTATTCACCCCATCACTCATACGTAATCACTGTCTTTGTAATGCGCCCAGATAACCGACAAGTTCAATGCCCCTTTCAAACTCAAAATCCGAAACCCTACTTTAAAGTGCAGGCTTGTACTTCCAATTTCCAGGACTCAAGTATGGCTAACCAGAAAAAATGTCCAGAGGATTGTGCAGCAGCCTGCCAACACCTTTCCTCAAAAACAAAGGCTTATATTATGGCACCACATATTGGCAGTTTCCTTTAATAGTTTGAGTATAAATTTTTTTTTTTTAAATGGGTAGTACTGAATTGGAATTCAACACTGAAATATTTATATAAATTTAAGCCTTCCATATTTGCAAAGGGATTGGCCTCTTGCTGGAAGGCATTGCCCTCTTCACACCATTGCAGGAGTTAATATTCTCATTTATTCTAAATATATTGATTAATTGTAGAATGCCAGTACTGTGTACTGTATACTCAAAATATAAGTTAAGGTTCCAAATTCATTATTTGTTAAAAGTTGGGGCACTATTTTAAAGAGTTTGAACTAAAAGCATAATCCCAACACTGAAAAACATAAGAAAGTGAGGTAGTCGCTTTTTTGACACTAACAACAAGAAAACAAGGTCACAACTGTACACTAATTAACAAGGTGCTGAATAAATTACAGAAAGAAAGCATGTTTTCATAAAGAGTGGTAGAACTGCTGGAGATGTACCCACTGCTAACCTCAAAGCTATAGATGAACTAAATACATTACTGTTTTTCAAATATGAGAAATCTTTGTTAGTTCAATCCAAAAATGAGAAGAATATTAAAGATCTGCTCACATCCACCGTTCCCATTCATTCTCAAAATGATTTAGTATATTCCACACCATTGATAAGTAGTATGAGATATTGATGTGATGTTGGTAAAGAGAGACGAATGCTTTTTATAAAAATGCTTTTGCGGCAAATTTTGGCCTACACTCTGGTTGATTTATCAAGTACAAACGAATAAACCTGTAATCGAAGTGAGCAGTGTCAATAAGTGGGCCCCACTTTACAGCGGGGCCATGCTTTGCTTTACGTCATTTTGCTAATATAATGGTTTTCAGTTATACGTTCATTTATTGAGACTTCCTACATTAAATATATTCACCACTCTAAGCTAAGGACAAAAATATTTTAAGTTTAGTAATGTGTGTACTGTATATACATTTTTTAGTGTCAATTGTTATCAGGCTTTTATATACATTTGAAAATGAAGGAAAAAAAAAGTGTGTGTGTGTGTGTGTGTGTGTGTGTGCTGGGTCATATTTCACTTTACAGCAGTAGCCTGCAACCTAACTTGCTGTATAAGTGGGGCCCTCCTGTAGTAGTAGTAGTAGTAGTGAGGTGAAAAGAAAGTGAATTAGCAGTGAATTATAACAGCAATTTTATAATTTATTTTATTACTTAATTTATAGCAGAATTCATATCTGCTACTAGAGGGCAGCAGATATGGGGTTGAAATTTCACTTCCTCGTCAATGATATCTCAGTGTGCAGTGTCAGATACTTGAAACATTTGTAGCTAGCCAGAGTGAAGTCACAACATATGCAGTGTAGGAGATGAATTGCAAATTCAAGATTTGTAGCCCATATAGCTGAAGGGTTAAAACACAAAGTTATGTGAATATTTTGACATCAAGATATAGTAACAAATTGATAGTGCTGAAGTTTGTTGTAGTAATAAACATTATCAGTGTTTTCCATTTCCAAACATGCAGACATAATTTTAGAATTACGGTTTCACAGTGTATCAGTTTAGAGCAGTGGTTCCCAAACTGGGGGTAAATTACCCCCTGGGGGTAATTTAACCATTTTTGGGGGGTAATGGAGGGGTGACAGAAAAAAAAGTTATGAATTCTGAAAATCAAGAAAACAATGCGGTACCCGGTATGAGGATTATTGTTAACTTTGTCTTAGTATATAAAGTTGTAAAGTAAACCTATTATAAGTAAGTAATAAAGTTAAACCAAATAACAATAAACATCAAAAACTAATATACAGTATTAGAAAAGAAGAAATATATAGCTAAGTGTGTGGAAACCCAAAAGTATTTTGACAAGTATGCTTCAGGACAAAAGTCACTCAGTAGCCCAGATCGACCTGTCCAGTACGCGTCACTCACTTCCTGAGGCTGCCTCTATTTCACACTGTCAGTTTATCTGTGAGCATCAGTGAGGTAGACATAAGCTGGTATGAAGCCAAGAATTCCTAAACTAGCTTCAAGTATGCAACTCCATCCATCCCACTGATGTTCTTGACATCTTTGGTAATAGTCATTAGAGATGCACAATGTTCAAATACAATAAATAAAAGAAAATATCTCAAGTGTTTTAATTTAGCCACATATATCAATAATAACAACATTTTGTGAAAGGGGTAACATGCTTTATGTGGCATGTTAAATTGGGTAACAAGCTGAAAAAGTTTGGGAACCACTGGTTTAGAGGAATATTTAAAGGTAAAATTAGTTAACTACAGTATCTTAGGAAATGTAATTTATAACATGTTAGTGATGACTGCTTGAGTATAGTATTTGATGAATTTATAGATGATGTTCCTTCACTAGTGTGCCCATATGCTGGTGAAAGACTTTCACTCCAAGGAATTAGTGTGTCCCTTGTCCTCAGATGAAACTTGATTACTTCCTATTCCTAAGGTTCTATATGACCCTTATAAGTTCATTGTTTTCTCCCTGAATATGTTATGATGATGATGATGATAATAATAATAATAATAATAATAATAATAATAATAATAATAATAATAATAATAATGTAGATACTGTGCAGTACTTAAGTTAAATACTTGTCTAGAACTGAGATAAGTGTTGCCTAATATTTTTACCTCAGCAATTAAAGAAGCCTGGATGGCGGCCTCCTAACTGGGCTTTTGCTTGTGTGTGGACATATTTGTATTCTACCATGGGTTATGCATCGTACCGAGTCTGGGTGGAGCTCGACAAACCTGATCTTCTGGCACCTGCTAGCCTGCCTTCACCCCTCAAGCTCTTTATTTTGCAAATTCTGCTGAATTGGCTGTGGACACCTATTTTCTTTGGTCTAAAGCAAATTACTATGGTGAGATTTTTAATTTTGCTCTTTAAAAAATAATTTGTTAGTATGTATTTAATTTGTACTAAATAGTGCCATCTACAAGGAATATAAAATATAGTGATAGAAAATAATAAAAGTTGGTGTACAGGTTCATTGTTGATTGTGGTAATTATATATTAATGCATTTTAGCAGGAAAAATGTCAGGATTGTTTGATTTCCAGTTTGTAATTGGAGGAGCAACAATACGATTGCCATAAGTCTTAATTGGTACAGCGTTTGTTGTATGGATTCCAATTTTTATTTCTTTTTCATAGCTTATCAGCATCTTTTCTTGAATTATTCTTTAATATTTTGTCTTTCTCATTTTTGGATTGAACTAACAAAGATTTCTCATATTTGAAAACTAATTGTATTTAGTTCATCATATAGCTTTGAGGTTAGCAGTGGGTACCTCACCAGCAGTCTACCACTCTTTATGAAGACATGCTATACTTTCTGTAATTCATTCAGCACCTTGTTACATTATTGTACAGTTGTGACCTTGTTTTCTTTGTTGATAGTGTCAAAAAATCATCTTTATATATTTCCTATATCTTTTCATAATCTTATTCTGTAAGTGGTTATTGTCTTTTTTTCTTATTTACCAACAAAGGTATGTTTAGAGTTTCCAGTCTTTCTGTGAAGTTCAGCTCTCTTAGCTCTTGCAGTCATTTTGTGATAAATCTTTGGATATTTTTTTGTTTTAGCTGCATATTTTTTTAGTGGACACCATGTATGAAGTTGGGAGCTGTCACAGCTGCTTTTGAGAGATTCAAAGGGAAAATTGCAAGGCCTGATGAAAGAGTTTGGGAAAGTGTATAAAAGGCATAGGGGATGTCTCATAAAGCATGAGACATCCCCTATGTACAGTACTTGCACTCTGAAGCAACAGTGGGGGTGTTTCAGTTTTGAGGATCATTTGAAATGTGATGTCCCTGCAGTCAGCGAACAGTCTTGTGTTAGATAGGAGTGAGTGGAGGCAAGTGGTTTTCATGATTTGATCTACTGTTAGAGTGTGAGCTAGGTAACATTTATGAAGAGATTCAAGGAAACTGGTTATCTGGACTCAAGTCCTAGAGGTGGGAAGTACAATGCCTGCACTCTGAAGAAAGGGTGGGGATGTTACTGTCAGTGCCCTTCTAGCAAGACAGTAATTGAATGGGTCACTCTACATCAGTGGGATGTGTCAGGAGTGTTAAAAAAAATCTTGTTTAAGCAGTGTATTGAAAAATCATCATAAAAACTGTTTAAAAATCTTATCTAGGCACTGTATTAAAAAATCATAATAATAAAAACTTTAGGAGTCAATATGTAATAATAAAAATAATATAATATCTTTATTTCTACAAGTACATGTACTAGGTATACAGGCCTAGCTGACATCAATAACATACTTCTATATAGAAAGTCTCTGGTTATGCAGAGCATTTCAGGCAAATTAGGTTAGTTTTATCCCTGGATGTCCCACACCAGTTAACTAACACCCAGGTACCCATTTTACTGATGGGTGAACATGGACAACCGGTGTAAGGAAACACGCCTAGTGTTTCAGCCCTTGCTGGGAATCGAACCCAGACCCTCACCGTGTGAATTGAGAGCTTTTATCACCAAACCACGGGCCACCTAGTGTTACTAGAAAATTGCAATGAAATACTAACCCTTAAACTGTCCACATGTAGATCTAATCTACTGTGTGCGTGCAAATGTAGATCGTTTTATTTTTCGTTCCTTCAGATTTGGTGCGATAGGCCTGAGTTACCCAGACATGAAAGAATGGGTCTGCGCACTCAGTGTGCGCAGTATGAAAAAAATCGGGGACCACTTAGTACCTTGTGGGAGCACCAGTTCAATTGAGCGCCAGCTAGAGCATATAGCGTGGCAAACACCAGGGATTCACTGATGTCATGTCATATTAACACTCCAATTTTAAGATGAAAGTAAAAATAGGTTAGATAAATACATGAGTGGGTATGAGTTGGACCTGACTAGCTTGTGCTGCTAGGCCAGATGCTGTGCTTCCTTCAGTGGATGTGACCTGACTAGGTGGGTCAGTTGGTCTAAGCCAGGAGGTGACATGGACCTGCCTTGCATGGGCCAGTAGGCCTGCTGCAGTGTTCATTCTTTCTTATGTTCTTATGTATTCAGCAGACTGGTCAGCTGGCCAGATGGCTGGATGGCTTTGGCTGTCTCTGTCTGTATCTGTCTATATCTCTGTCTATGTCTATATCTCTGTCTCTCACATGTACACATAAATACAGTTATTATACATAGTGTAAATTACTTGGGATAACCCAAAAATTCCAGGCAAAGTGCTATACTAGTGTTTGTAGATATAAGACATAAATAAACATGACACAAGTAATAGCAGTGTCACTTGTTCAGCAATCAAGGAGCAGCTCATAAACCACAAACCAACAGCTTTACTAGCTCCTATAAATAAAGACCTATAAATACTTTGTATATATTTCTAGACAATAGTAAATGACCCAGGCAGGTGAAAATGTTCACCTGTCGGTGTGATTGTTACTATTTGAGTACTATTTCAGTACATAATATTAGTGTCAGATCAGAGATTGGCTATGAAATCACAAGAACTATTATAAATTGTAATTATCAGAACATAAAAATTATATAAATTAAAATAAATATGAGAAAAAAGGTAAATCGGCAACACTTCTGCAAGCGGTAGGACAACAGGATGTTGACATCAGGTGAGCATCCAGAGGCAACTTCCCAGTCGTATATCTTGGTAATTACTGGTTCTAAAATTTTTTTTTTGGTCTTATAGTACACAGAAAATTGCCCTCTTTAAAAAAAAAAATTATTTGTCAAAATATTCGGAGCGCCACGCAGTTGAATGTAGATCTACGTTTGGACAATTTAACCTGTAAATGGTCCAAACGTATATGTATGCTTTTTCAACATTTCAAAGCATGTAAAAAAAGTAGATCATCTTTTTTTTTTATTTACATTTGAAAATGTGTAAAAAACTTAGGTCTACTCTTTTTTTTTTTTTTTGTTATATTTGAAAATATGTAAAAAAACGTAGATTTACATTTGGAGCACTACGCATGTGAACGTTGATCTGCTTGGACAGTTTAAGGGTTAAGGGTTAAAATGTGTGTGCATGCATGGAAAAGACTGTGTAATTTAAATGACAATTGGCTTTCAGAGTGCAAATAGAAGCCATAGGATTATACTGTGACAAATGTTTATAAAGGTACATATTAAAAAAGGTAAGAAAGTTAAAGATATGGTATTCATTTAAGGCATACAGTGGTTAGATAAGATTATATGATGTGGTAGCTTATATTGGATGAGTGTCCATGTAAATTAATATATATATGATTGTAATGTGTGGTAATAAATTTGCAAATGATATTGAAATGCAGGGAGAAGGATTAAATTATGGAAAAGATTTAGTATTATATGTAAGCAATTTGTGAGTAAACCACATGATCCACATATATATATTTAGGAGTTTTACAATAACAAACACCAAAAATTATTAAGCATTACAAATTTGCAATGCTCAAATTTATTTGGTACGTATTTTGTTTCAGGCTGTGATCGAGATTTTTCTTCTCACTTTTGCAGTCCTACTCACTTTGTTAACATTCTGGGAAGTAGATAACCTGGCAGGACTTATTAGTGCCATATTTGGTTTGGTTGATTCTGGCCACAGCCCTCACAGTCACCATATGGAAAGCAAATCTACAGTGGTGCTATGGGTACCCAGCATCAAAGAAAAAATAGTTGTTTTTGTTGTTTAATAATGCCCACATGAACTCAGTTAAATTCCTACATACATACAAACACATGGTATATTTCATTTCTGTTTTCAGGTTGAATGAACAGCACTGTATATTTTAATTTCACCAGTATTTAAAGATCTCTCTTAGCTCAGTCTACATTCTCTCTCTCTCTCTCTCTCTCTCTCTCTCTCTCTCTCTCTCTCTCTCTCTCTCTCTCTCTCTCTCTCTCTCTCTTCTTCTCTCTCTCTCTTGCTCTCTCTCTCTTGCTTCTCTCTCTCTTTGCTCTCTCTCTCTCTTGCTCTCTCTCTCTCTTGCTCTCTCTCTCTTGCTCTCTCTCTCTCTTGCTCTCTCTCTCTCTTGCTCTCTCTCTCTCTTGCTCTCTCTCTCTTGCTCTTCTCTCTCTTCTCCTCTCTCTCTTGCTCTCTCTCTCTCTTGCTCTCTCTCTCTCTTGCTCTCTCTCTCTCTTGCTCTCTCTCTCTCTTGCTCTCTCTCTCTTGCTCTCTCTCGCTCTCTCTCTCTCGCTCTCTCTCGCTCTCTCTCTTTTTTTTACACAGGGTTTGACAAGGTTAAGGATACCTAGCTTTATTGACAAGCTATTTACAGGTTAAGGATTCCTAACTTTATTGGCAAGCTAAGAGCTGTTACCTACATCAGCTCATTTGAAAGCATTTTTATTGTTATGAGACATACAAGGGGGGAAACGGGAAAAAATTTTGGGGAACCCAAACGTGGGCCAGCATTTTAAATTTGATAAAAATGATTTTCCATCTCGTTGGCATCATTAGTGTACTAATGTGTTCCATACTGGGTTCTTTCCGGGAAATGTATAAACTCAGATGGAGGATGTTCGGGGAAAAAGGGGAAACAGCCAGAGTGAATTGCTGTTTTCTGCCCATCTTGTGGCATAAAAGCTTTTTTTCATGCGGGCCCTCGAAGGGGGATCCAATGGGGTATTTTGACAATTTTGGGGCCTTTGTACATAACGAAAGGGCCACCCACATCCCTCCTTGTTTGAAGGCTCTGCTGAAATACAATCTAAAAAAAAACAAGGGGGTCCGGGCCAAAAGATGAGACGTCTTCCCTTGTTTTTTACTCTGTCAAGCGGGGTCGAAGATAAGGGGGGGCGGGCAAACCAAGAAAGGGGACCCAAAAACTAAGGGGTGTGAGCGTACTTGTCCCTAATACGGGAAACTTGCAACCCCTACGGGAAGCAGATGCGAAAAAACGGCGAATGCTGTATATAATAATATATATTTTATTTAATTTATATATATATAAATAAATATATTATATATATATATACTTTAATTTAATATATTTTATATATATATATTATATATATATATATATTTTTAAATTTTTTAATTATATATATATAAAATTTTATATTTATATATTTTTTTATATATATATTATTTATATATAAAAATATAAAAATATTTTATAAAATATAATATATATATTTATATTTAAAATATAAATATATATATATATATGTATATTTATGTATATATTATATATATATGTATATATTTATATATATATATTTTAATTATATATAATATATAATATATATATAAAATATTATATAAAAAATATATATATATATATAATATATTCAGTCCCCCCCCGGGGGGTTAACGATTTTTTTTTCACTCCAGAAGTATGTTCGGGTGCCAGTACTGCCCGAATTTGTTCCAAAAGGGAAAAATTGTGAAGTAGTTAGTCCATTTCAGACCCCCAAACATACACGACAAACCACTTAACAAAATTACACTTAAAAAAATTGGCCCGCTTTTGGGAAAGGTAATCTTTTAGGGCGGGGGCCACTGTTATATATTATATATATATTATATATATATATAATATTATATATAAAAAAAATTTATATATATATATATATATATATATATATTTATATATGTGTGTGTGAAAGTAAGTAAGTTTATTAGGTATACACAAATACGTTACATAGAATTATTTTACTAGCAGCATATTTAAGAACCTGGAAAACCCCAAAAAAGTCATATTACAATATACATACAATATACATACATGCAAAAGTTTCACAGTAAACAGGGGGTTTTTTGGAATATGCAAAAAAAACCATGTGAAAAAATTTGGGGATATTCCAAGCGTTTTCGTGACTACTCAAAATTATAAAAGGAATTTATAAAAAGTAAAGCCCCAAAGGGAAAGGGTATATAAGGGGTCGGGCCCAAAACACCTCCTATCAGTTTCCCACCGGGTTAAAACCTGCGGGGGCCCGGGGCCCAATGGACGGGCCCTTTCGCACAAACCCCCCCAACAAAACTTTTTCTACCCAAAAAAATTTTTAAAAAATTTATTTTTGTCCAGGAATTATTAAATTTTCCCCCAAATTTCCCTTTTAAAATTATAAATGGATTAATTTATATAAACCAAAGGAAATTTTCCTTTTAATTGTAAAAACCCTGCTTTTTATAAAACAAGTTAAAAATTTATTCCTGTCAAAAACCCAGGGGATTGCTTGATATTATTTTCCCAACGTTTTGAAAATCAGTTGGAGGGTTAAAAACCCTTACATAAAAAAATTAGAGCTTTGGGAAACCTTGCCCCAGTTCAAATTTGCTATTTATTTTGTTTTAATCTTAGTTCGAGATTTTTCCCTTTTTGGGCCCGAAAAATAAATTTGCGATAAATTTTATTATGGTAAAAAACTGGAAAAAATCTCGAACAAAGATTAAAACAACAAAAATTTAGAAATTAGAACGGGAAAAAAATTTCCCAAAATGCTCAAATTTTTTCCCAGGGAAAAGAGATTTTAACCATCCAATTGATTTTAAAAACGTTGAAAAAGTAGTATCAACAAGCCCATGGGCGACGGGAAAATAAATTAAATTCTTGTTTCATAAAAAGAGTTTTGATTTTTAAATTTGAATTTTTCCCTTTTGGGTTTTATAAAAATTTGTTTCATTTAAAATTGTTTGAATTTGGGAAGAATTTAATAAACACTGGACAAATAATTTTTTTTAAAAAAAATTTTCGGGGTAGAATACAGGGGCCCCCCCGCATAACATCCCCTCCGAATGCGACCAATTATGAAGTGTATTTATGTAAGTCCCTTTGTACGTGTATGTTTGGGGGTCTAAAAGGGACTAATCACTTCAAATATTCCTTATGGGAAACAAATTAAATCAAAATTTGGCACCTAAACATCCCTTCGGGATTTAAAAAATCGTTAATGGGGGTCCACTGTATTTTGTTGGGGGGTTGGGTGCGAAGACCTGTTCATTTGGGGGCCGGCACGCGTCGGGTTTGTTTAAACTGTGTGGGATCTAAAGTGAGGTTGGTCAGCCCCCCTTATATCCCTTTCCCTTTGGGAGCTTTACTTTCATAGTTCCTTGTTAATGTATAGTCACGAAAGTGTTTGGAAATTTTCCCTCTATTCTTTCACAGTGGTTGTTTTGCATATAAAATATATTTTATATACGTGGACCCCCCCCTTAACAATTTTTTTTTTCATTCCAGTAGTATGTTCAGGTGCCATTTACTGCCCGAATTTTTCCCCCTTTTAAGGGAATTTTGGGTGAAGTAGATTAGCCCATTTCGGGACCCCAAAACATACACGTAAAAAACCGCACTTACTTAAAAAACCTTACAAAATTGGTCGCATTTGGGGGTGACTTTTAAGCGGGGTCCACGTATTAAAATATATATATATAAAATTATATATATATAAGTGGCCCCGGGGGTTTAAACGAACTTTTTCTTTCCCAGGAAATTTCAGGTCCAGTACTAAACCGAATTTTTCCCCATAAGGAATATTGTGAATTTGATTAGTCCTTTTCAAAAAACCCCCAAACATACAGTACAAACGCATTACATAAATACATTTAAACAAAATTTGGTGGGCATTTGGAGGTGATCTTTTAAGCGGGGGGTCAACTGTGTATATATATATATATATAAATTATATATATATATATATTAAATATATATAATATATAAAATTATATAAAAATTTAAATATATATATATAAATATTTATTTATTTTTTTTTTTTTCCAACAAGTCGGGGCCGTCCCCCCACCGAGGCGGGGGTGCCCCAAAAAAGAAAGAAAATCCCCAAAAAGAAAAACTTTCATCATCATTCAACACTTTAAACCACACTCACACATTTTTCCACTTTTTTTTCAGAGGTGCTCAAAATTAACAACATCTAGAACTTTACACATATAAAGATACACAACATTTTCCCCCCCCAAACTCCAGTACCCCCCAAACCCCTCCTTTAAAGTGCAGGCTTTTGATTTCCCCCCTCACAAAATATTCCCCTTTGCCACCCCAACAGATGGGTCACCCCCAAAATTTACCTTTTCCGTCTCCTTTTTTTTTTTTTTTAAAAATTTTCCCAAAATCTAACACGCCCCAACGCACGCTTCCCTGTAAGTCCAAGCCCCTTCCCCACAAAACCTCCTTTACCCCCCCCTCTCCCCAACCCTTTCGAGGACGACCCCTACCCCCCCCTTCCTTCCCCTATTAAAATTTATAAAGCTTTCCATGGTTTATTTTACTTTTTTTCCATTCCTCTAAAAAGACCAAACCACCCCCAACAACCCCTCTTCTGGGCCCCCTGACTAAACTTTTATTAAACCCCCACAAACCCTTTTCCCCAATTTCCACATCCGAATTTTCTGCATAATATTTAAAACCCCCACAATGCCCTTAAAAAACAGGCATCCCCCTCCCCCAAAACCGTTTTCCTCGCTGCGCATTTACCACCCAAGCTTCACCCCATATAAAGAGTTTTGGTACTACTATACTTTCTTTTGTTCCCTTCTTTGCCCCCATAGAAAAAAGTTTTTTGAACCCCCATATACCTCAAAAGCCCACTCACCTGTTTTTCCCCCATCCCAAATTTTATGATTAACCCCATCCTTCATAAAAACCCCTCCGCCGACACGTCAAACCTTTCCCCAAAATATCGGAAAAAATTTTACTTCTTCCCCTACTCCTCCTCCCCAATTTGATATCCAAATTTTTTTTTAACTAAATCATTTGACACCCTCATCACCTTAAATTTTTTTGTTCACTTTCAACTTTCAAACCCTTTTCACACTTTCCCCAAAAAAATCCCCAA